TTCTACCATCTTTAATTCATTATACCTCCTCATAGCCATGGTTTGCTTCATAAGAGATGGTTCAACATACTCTCTCTCAAGTTTATCATAAATCTCACTTGCAGTATAGATTGACTCATACTCAGAAGCATATAAATTAGTCATGGCAAATAAAAGAATGTGTTTACATCCCAGATTCATCCTCTTCCAATTGACGTACTCATCTTTAATGACTTGAGATGAGTCGTCAATTGAACGACGAGGTCGGTCCTTAAAGAGTACCTCATGCAAGTTTTCCTCCTAGAGCACAAATTTGATTTTTCTTTTCCAAGAAACAAAATTAGTCCCATCAAACCTTTCGGTTTTCAGGATCTCTGAGATGAAAGTATGAGCAGCTATATATTTCTATTCTTAAGCAAAGAAAAATAAGAAAAGACTCCTAATGGTAATTAAGTAAAACCATCTCTGATACCAATGAAAGAAAGACCTATGTGATCTTTTGTTGGGAAATACATTTTTTTTTAATAATAATCAGCCCTAATAATTTTGGCAACAAGATCACTCACAGATGGTCTTATTACAAATGATAGAAATTCTAAAAATAAATAAATGACACATCAATAAAATAAATCTCAATTACTTGATGCCATTCATACAACCTAATACTATGCTTGAAACTATAAAATAAAAAAACAAGAAAGTACAAGAGAAGATATCGGAGATTACATCAATCGGGCTTATTACACCCCACACCGAGTCACCACATCCAATGGCGCAGGATCAGCGGTCTAGCTTCAATCTCGAACCGGAAAAGCTAATTTCGATCAAACTAGGTAACCATCCTTAAATCTCTACAAAATCCTAACTCTAAAATAATTAGGCTCAAACCCTAATTTTCCTAACCCTTAAATATTTAGGTAAAGAGAGAGAGAAAAGGAGACCAAGGGTTGGGGCATGCCCCCTATGGGTCTTAAGAGAGAGAGAGAGGGTTAGAGAGAAAAAACCTGAGAGGAGAGAGAGGAGCGTGGCCCCTAGGGAGGAGAGAGAATGTATGGGAGAGAGAGAGGTATATAGAGATGGGGGGAGAGCACCCCTATTTATAGTGAAATTTAGATCTAGGGTTTCTTTAAGGTTTCCTATAGTTTATCTATTTCTTGATATTGAATATGAACCGTTGATCAAGGTGACTTGCAGGGTGAGAGATCTAAGCCATCCATTCCATAAATGGGCTATCAATATTATGAAAGGTGCATGAACCATTATCCCCCTTTCTTTAAACCATTTTCCCATCAATGTACTTAAATAAATTAAATCCAATAAAGATATCATGCATTCCATAAAATTGCATTATCTATCTCATATATTCCATAATAATATATCAAGTTAATATTTACTATCTTAAATAGATAAGATATGGTTAATATTTACTATATTAACAAATTGACCATATGTCATAAGATACACTTTCTATATTTAAATAACTTGAACACAAAGCTACCAAAAGAATCCAAAGGGTGGGGCATGCCACCCTTTTGTGGCACATGTGGGCCTCCACCCACATGCCACATAGTGGGCCAATGTATACTTTGGGCTTCCATGTAATTTTATAAAAAGTTTTAAAATTAAATAAAACGAATTAATATATATTTGAATTTTTACAACTTTGTAAAATCAATAACTGTATTTTCATAAGTCCAAAAATCATAAATAAAATATTGAGAGATTCATAAAAATTTAAATAATAAAACTAAAATCATTTCAATAATAAAAGAATACAATTAAATTAATATGATGAGGAAAATGATCCATATGGTTTTAGAAATTCAAACTGTCATCATGGGGTACTCCACTTTCAACTGTAGACTACAGACCGCACTAATTTTATCGAACTGCAGTGTTTCCTATGACCCACATCCAAGCAGGGGCTCATTAGCGGATCACCAAAGTCAAGTCGATGAATCAAGGGATCGCAATCTCAGTCTGTGGATTACAGGTCCTCCCCTAGAGACAAGTCAAGCTCACCACGACTTGATGCGACCACAGCTCTATGACGCATAGGGGTATCTCTCACACATGCATACGCTTCATCCAAAGGTAGATATCTGGCTTTTCAAACGATCTATCGATATGCATGCCTTGTGATGGAACATGGATGGGGTTTTGGCCCTATCTCAGTAGGCCTACCATCACACACAAGGGTCACACAATCCATCGGCTTACTCATTTAGGCATAAGCTTCGACCTCATCAAGGGTTGACTCAAAAACCTCATCGGTTAATTCTTTATGCCCAAATACCTTGGGTTTTCCAACCGACTAGCTTAGATCGATAAGCACAGTCCGGTATAAGCAAACATCATTCTCTTAGTATGGCCTTCGAGGGACCATAATCCCACTGAATTTATGTTTTACTATAAAAGTATTTTAATACACACTCATAAGGCCTTTAAAGGCCACATAAATCCAATAGGCCCGGCCAAGCCCTACATTTTCCTTATTTTTTAGTTGATTAGCAAGGCCCAATAGGCCATGGCCATTTAGCCTCGTCAAAATAGGCGGGCCTTATTGGGACTTTTGTTGAGCTAGGGTCAGAATAGCCCAGCTCAAGCTCGACAAAATTATGAAAAATATTTTTTGAGCAAGTATAGTGGTCTCTGTTGGAAGCATAATTTACCTCTATTCCCTTGGTAAGAAGACATATATCGGAGGATTATTTTAATCTGAAATTTTGGGAACCACCTATGAATCACTAGATGATTATTTTCAAAATAAAAAATTTGAAATTTGAGCTTTTTAACACTTAGATATTGCCATCTAAAAATTGGATAGCCTTTATTCAATCTCGCGATATTGTTTTTTCCAAATGCATAGAGGGTACAATTAGATTAGTTATTTATTTATTGAAGTTAATCCATGGGTTGAAGAGGTTACATCCCGAGTTTTGAATCCTAAGTGGGATTTTCCCCCTTCGATTAAATAGAAAGTGAAATTATAATATCTTTTGGCTATTGTTTTTTCCCAAATATCAGGGATACAATTTTTAGAATCCACTCACCTACCTCAAAGAAAAAAAAAAAACTCATTTTCTATGTGCCTAAAAAAATAGGGTATCCTAAGATTATAGAGGTACAATCCAATTTTTTGAGGGAAAGATCTAGATGTCTAAGAACACCAAATTCGAATTCCTCTCTTTGGAAATAATCATCTAATTCTACTTAAATGAACCCTAAAATTAAAAAAAAAGAAAGAAAATATCCCAAGTAAGTCTTTTGTATGAGGGAGTAAATATATAGTATTCTCATGCAGGAGCATCGTACACACGCTCTCGAAGCAACAAAAGTTACCCCTAGTGATTCAAAAGTCGGCGAGTCACCCGTGCCGGTTCCAGTGAAATTCCGGAAATCGCCTGATTCTAGAGAAGAACTGGCGTAAATCGCCATGTGATGTCATGATTCTCTCATGGCCCGCCGATTCTTCAATGGGCATTTTTGTAAATTTTAAAAAGTACATAAAACGTGACTCTCCTCACTTCGCACGCGTTATCATCATTAGTTATACAGAGGTATTTATTCACTATAATTTCTTTCTACCTCTTCGATGTGGGACAATGTGAAGGCATTTTAATATATTATATATTTTGTTTGCGCTTTTAATATCATTAAGTAGCATGTGGCTTATTGGTTATAAAATGTTTTTTGTGTATGGAGGGCATTGGTTTAAATCCTCTTGAAGAGAAAGGTTTTCTTATTAATTTTATTTTTTTGAGGTCAAATTATTTTCTTATAGAAAAAATGTAAGGGTTTTTATTTATCATTTTCGCTTTTTGTCAAATTTTTTTCTTATAAAAAAAATGAAAGGTTTTTGTTATCAATTTCGCTTTTTGTCAAATTTTTTTTTCTTATCAATAAAATAAAAAGTTTCTTATAAAAAAAAATGAAAGGTTCTTATCAATTACTTTTCTTGTTAAATTTCATTTTTTTGTCAAAAAAATAAAAAGTTTTTTTCAAAAAAATAAAAAGCAATAAAAAGTTATTGTCAAAAAAAAAATTTCTTATAAAAAAATAATAATACAACAAGTATTTTTTGTCATAAGAAAAAAATGAAAGGTTTTTTTTATCAATTTCGCTTTTTGTCAAATTTTTTTCTTATCAAAAAAATGAAAGGCTTTTTTTTTTTTATCAATTTGCTTTTTGTCAAATTTTTTCTTATCAATAAATAAAAAGTTTCTTATAAAAAAAAATGAAAGGTTCTTATCAATTGTTTTTCTTGTCAAATTTCTTTTTTTTGTCAAAAAATAAAAGGTTTTTTTCAAAAAAAAAGTAATAAAAAGTTATTGTCCAAAAAAAAAGTTCTTATAAAAAATAATAATACAATAAGTA